ATTCGAATACTACTCAGGACGCATGAGTAGAATTCTAATAGTGGTCTCAAGCAAGTCTTGTGGAGCAGAAGTTTTACTTCGTTTTTATAGAGCCTGAGGATTATGAAACCTTAAAGGACTCTTGACTTTCAGGTCTGAGTGGCAACTTGTTCAGTGAATGTCATCTTAGACCCAAGTCTATGACACTTTTTAGGCTAAGGAGCTTCTGAGACTGCAGACTTAGTCACAAGGTAACGGTGGGTGTACCGAAGCATAGTCAGCCACGCCTGTCTACGTCAAAACGAAGCTTCCACATAATAGACCAGTAGGTTACTTGGTCTAGTTTCTTCTTTGGCAGTGTTTGAGAGGAGTTTAAGTCTTCAGCAGGGAATGACTAGATTACCTTGAGGTCTTCGGCAAAAAGCAGCTTACCATATGGGAAACAGCTGTAGAGCCCGGTGACGAGAGGGCTGAAAAGCATGAGACCTACCACACTACCTTGAAGGACACCATATATGACGGTTTTTAGTTTAGAAGGACGGTACCCGATTTTCAGTACTTCCGAATGGTTGCTGAGGAGGTATCTGATCCGACTTGGCAAGGGGTGCTTAATTTAAGTTTTTATGTCTTCGTATTCATTTGTTGATCGGAGATGAATAGAGCACAACTTCATTCAAAGGGCGTACGCAGCACCAATCTAACAGCAACAGTGCGAGTTAAGGAAACTCTTAGTTTTTGAACTCTCGCTTCTAGATCCGAAGGGTCAATTCGTTTTGTTCGATCTTTCTTCTTTGATGACTGCGAAGTTTTTTCAGTTTATCTGCTGGTGGCTTTGGAGGTGGTGATTGCATATTTGAAGGGTATTTTGCTAATTGTAAGGTTGTTTAAAACTTCAAACTTCCAATTTGGAAACAGCGGATAATACCTCCATGGGTTCTTCGTCTTTTTTAATGAAATACATTCCGTGCTTGAAATGGTCTCTTGTTTTCTTGGATCAAAGAATCCTAGAATAATTAGTTAATTAGTTTGTTAAGTGTGTTGCTGCTTCCCATAGTTTGTAAGACGACAAGTCGGTCCTTAAATACAGTCCATCTGTACCAAAGTACTCTACATCTGTATCAAACCTTTTGTGAAGGCTTTAGGAGACGAGGTTATGATAACTTCTTCAGGAAGACGGTCCCACAGTTTACATACTCCAACTGCAAATGGGTCAGCACGAATCATCAAAAGTGTTATCTCGTGCTCCGGTCTGAAAGGATAACCTATAAGGAAGTGCTTCCAACCAAAGCCTAAGAACGGTCGGTTACGATAAAGAAGACTACGGGCTATGCGATGTACCGTGGTCAAATCCACACTGATCCGTTTGTTTCTCACCTAGTACAGCTTAAGAGCAGCTGAGCTTTCTAGATAAGGTTTGTGCCTTCATCCAGTCACTTTCCCCGTTACTCTTCTTTGAACCGTTCTGGGATGACAGTGTTCTTCTACAAGCATATAGAAATAACTAGTGAATTTCTACCTAGATGAAGGTGAAAACATACCTCTTCCACCGTAGTGAAAAAGCCCGAAGTTTGATTCCCTAGAGTATGAGAAGGAAACCCTAGGACTCCATATGCCTTGTTTTCGGCAGAGCGACAACTAAGGAAAGCTTGAAGTGCATCACTTGAGGTAACCCCTAGATCTTCGCCGGCGTTAAATGAGAATATTTGTTTTTCCCAGTTCCACCTATACATGTCTTCAGTCATTATCTTACACTTCTTTGAGTTGACAGGGAGCGTATTTTCACTTGACCAATTAACGATTTTAGAATCTTATTTCCGTAGAGCCGTGATATTCGTTGGCCCCAGTATTTCCATCCAGACCTCGAAATTATCAGGATACAATGGTAAGCGAGGAAGTAGGCTTGCTCGCAAGTCTTTTATAAAAGTAAAGAATAGTAGTAGACCAAGAACTGAACCCTAAAGCACCCCACTCACCATAGGAGACCATTGAGATAAACAGAAACCTATTCTGATTGATGCTAACTGGCTGTTAAATTGATCTTTAAACCGCCTGAGCAACTCGTGTACCTCCGTAACCTGAAGTTTCAAATACAAGACATCATTGTTCAGCTCACCAAAGGCTTTAGAAAAGATAAGTGGCTCAATATGAATAGGATTTTTCTGCTCAACTATTCCATGCTATAAGCAAGCCGTTACATTACCCACTAGGCAAAAATGCTTGCAGATAGTCAGTTAGGATTGAGTTCGTATGTAAATAATCACGTAACAAATCACTAACTACTCTTTCTATAAAGTTCGCAACTGAAGAGACCAATGAGATCGGTGTAAGGTTAGAGGCGAGTAGTTTGTGGCCACCTTTATACACTGGGACAATGGCCACTCTTTTCCAGTTAGAGAGAAGACAATTGAGATGCCTGCTTGGTACTGGTGTCAAAATACGAGATGACTTGTCTTCGATATCGAAATTCTCTCCAATATTTAACGCCTGTTTCTCAAGATTCGCATCGCCAGGCAATTTTTTGGATTGGTTGTGAGAGGAAGGGAAGGTGGATGGAAAGATAAATGAGAAAAACAATGGATAGTAGATGGAAAATGCTGAAGTAAGGAAAAGGAAAAGCGTTGGTAAGTTCTGGAAGACTATGGAGAAACCAATGATGCAGAGAACTTCAATGAACAGGATGAAACTGTTGACAGCCAGAAAGAGGGAGTGGGGATGGGAGTATTGTACTCGGGATAACGAAAAGAAAGCGAACGATATTAGTAGTGGCACGCCTGAGCCAACATTCAATCACCCACTGTGTTTATCAGAGCTTTAGTGGGTTGGCAACTGTACATGAAAATGACAAATATACTGAAAACTTGATAAAGGCGTGAGGCTAGAAGTCATCTCCAAATGTTACGGCGTTATGTATAAAAAAATGTATTTTCTGTGGTCTGCGTGCATCTATTCTGAAGTGAAAACCATAAGAACAAGTCCTTTTTTTCTGAATTTTTAGGCTTCAGTTGAATAACTTTGATTTGTAAGCATTATTTTTTCCGAATAACTGTACCTACTTTCCACCTCAGAAGTGGAAGTTCAGCCAATACTTTGCACATGAGTAAATGTTATTAAACATGATTCAACGATAGATGGTAATGTAAAACCTATGTGCATAGATTAAATATTGACAAACAACACAGAAACTACGTGCATTTTCACACAGAATGCTATGACCCATAAAAAGTGAGATAAGACTAACTCTTGCGAGAGTTTAACAGCTAAAGTAAGCCAGTGCAAAACAGTCAATCCGTTCCTATTTCCTCCATTAAAACAGTGTTCAATGTTGAACGTCTAAAAAGCAAGTATATACCAGTGTTTATCACCGACAAGCACCTTCCAGCAACATCGAAACAGTGAACACGAATCAATCAACGAAATTGGCGTGACGATTGCCACTTACAACAAAGTACCAATCACATAAACTCGAAAATACTTCCTGCTGGTGCTCCGTAGTTATGTAGACCGTCCATTTCTTTTCTAATATTTTGTTTGATTAAGGTGTTGTTCGACATCTTCAACAAAAGCTGGCGGCCGCCAAACTTTATTGTTGTTATGCGTTAGGTCTTCTTGTTTCATACACCACTGAAGACAGTTGTGGTTATCAGGCTAATCTCCCTGCTCACGCATGGTCGCTAAAGTTGACAGAATAAATCGACGAAAATATGACTCAAAATAGCTGCTGTCTGTACTGGGCAATTAAAGAAACCTGATGACTAATCTATGACTTAAGATAGTTCGATTATGTATCTCCAATTCCAATGACAACTGAGCATAATATTCAGAGTCCCTAATGTCATACATCTCCGATTTCCAGCTCACTTTTGTAATCTAGCTAGTAGGACAGTGGGTCAGTTATCGCGGCAGCACTATTCTGAGTCATGTTGTAACCTAGTTATCATGTCTCTTATCAACCATTCAATTCTATACTCGGCTAGTATGCATCTGATCAGAAACATTTAGAATACAACTAGTTCATTCTGTTTGGAACAAACATCTTAATTGAATTGTATGGGATCCGGAATTTTTCAGAACTTTGCTTGCATTAAATGTACCTTCGAACTGAAGTACTCTTCATTCACTCTATGCCAAAAAGCACTACTGTAGTTATGTCAGTCAACTTCAGTTTGAGAGCTGATAATTTGTTCACTAGATTGGTGCAACAACAGGTATTCATTTCCAGACACTTGAGGGCATCCACTCTTGGGTGTGGGTGATGATGTCGTTTGGAGGAAAACTTGAGTGATGGCAGAATTTGAACCAAGAATCCATTGGTTACCGTTTAGGTAGTCTACTAACCAACCTATAGTGCTAAGCAGCAAGAGAGGTACTTTTATGCTGTGGTAGGCCTATTCAACTTCTCCGAATAAGACATTAAAACTTTTTTGCTGGAAATGTTGAGCTCCAAAATAAAACGAATGTGAAGGAAAGATCATTGCTATTTTGCTCGCGCCGTTATGGGTTTACTGGTGAGGCAATATATCCGGCAATTGAAATTTATCATGTAACCACTGTGATCTTTAGTACTGACTCTATGTGTCACAATAATTAGTAGCAATGTCAACAGGCAGAATGAACAACTTTCCAGACAGTATTTAGTTAAGGAGCGTATCATCCAATTGGAACGTGATAATCATATCTAATCGCTAAATGAAGAGATTAAACACAGATGTCATTACTAATTACCTGAGTGGCATACGTGAGGATCCATCTGCATGACTGAGTTACTTGTACTTCTAATGGGTTTGCATTCCTAGAAGAACTCATTCAAGCTAATCCACATCTTAATGTTTTTTTAAAAATTGCTATCATCGCTGTTATGGAAATACTGTTGATCCCAGACAAGTAACCTACACTTGACAATCAAATTACTTTCTGGGTATTCACTGAAAAGAACATTTACTTCTAACTTTATCTCAAAGCATCATCTGGATTAAATAATCAGTTGAAGTTTTATCTTATTTCAAATTATAATGAACATCTAAAGACAGTCACAACGTTTACACACTTGACACCTTTTCATATCGGCGGAATACTATTTTAAAACAAGTCGAATACATACACCAAAGCACTACATTATTCAATAAATCCTGTAGAAGTTTTTTCACACTTTGGTTTCCTGTACATATCAGACAAAAATATATCAGTAGTAAGCCAATACAACACACGTTATACACTCTATTTTCGTGGCTTTTCACGTTTTCTACTTTTTCGCTTTGATTTTAGTTTTCGTTTATCTGAGGAGAGAAAAAAAAGGGATTAAATTAGTTAATTAGGTGACTTGTGAGATTTTGATGAATTTGAAGTCGAATTTCACTACGAAAAAACATTAACATGAGGGGGTTTTGAAATAAGAGAATACTAGTCTTCTATTTTGTCTCAGTCTATGATTCATTCGTAGTGTATGACTTAAAGTTTATAATGAACTGACTTGGATCTATTTATATCTCGGGGTAGTGAAACTTGAGATGAATACCTTGATCAGTAATCAGTGGTTGATACTACGAAGCTTAATTGGCTTACGGTGTAGTTGTATCATCTACATCATCTCTAGTGTAATCAAACGTCATTCAAGGTCCCTCTTAAACTCACTGATTGTTCCTTTACACCAAATGAACCGGTTACGCTGAGGTAACCGCAACTAGTATGCGGAATTTGTTTGGTTGTGGCTAGTAGAAGAATCCAGGACGCGCATTTCGTCCTACTTGGGACGTACGAAGAAGTACAAGAAGTGGCATCTTGAAGCGATGGGCACGAGTTTCGAGTCTCAGTGAGAACAACATCACTCACTGAGGTGGAGGTACATCCAGCTGATGAGTCCCAAATAGGACAAAATGCGCGTGCAGGATTCTTCTGCTAGCCACAACCAAACGAATTACCTTAATTAATATCCAGGCAATAGCGAGGCATCCTCATGGGAGCCAGTATGCTAACAGAGGTCGAACAATTCGATCCAATAAAACAAAAAAGAATTAAAGTATATCACTAAATAGTGTGTGGAATGTTAGAAACTTTTAATTCACATTTTGAAGAAAAATAACTAGAAGTGCTGAAAACGTATTGATATTAGTGACTAGCAGAGGAATCCAGGACGTGGGTTTCGTCTTACTTAGGACCCATCAACTGGATGTCCCTGAACCCCGTCGAGTGATGCTGTTTCAACCGAAGCTCGGACCCAGTACCCTTCGATCCAAACGCCAGAGCGTTATCCACCAGGCCACTGGGGTACGTTATTCACCTCTTATGCAACGGATGTTACTTGTTGTAGTGATGCATTCAATTTCTCGTTGTTATACAAGGCCGAACTGCTTGATCTCTGTTGGTAGATATTCTCCTATGCGTATGCCTCGATACTGCAGGATGTGCACAACAGGTTGGCTTTACATGACAACGTGTTGAAAACACATTATATTTTAACACAAAACTATACTGTTGATCGTTTCCGTGCCCTAGTGGCCTAGTGGATTGCAGTTTGGCGTTTGAAGCGATTTGTACTTGATCCGAGTCTCAAAGAGGACAACATCACTCACTCGGGGGGGTGCAGGCACATCCAGCTGATGTGTTCCAAATAGGAAGACACATGCATCCTGAATTACATTGCTAGTCACTAAGATGAATGTTTGATAATCCTATTTAGAATGAAATCATTCTACAGGATAGTTCAATCCATGACGTTTACAACACATGGCCAAATAATGACCTTTAAGTCTTTAAATGTCTATTGAATTTTGTTCTATTTTATGATTGAAGAGTTTCCTACATTCTATTATTCAATGTATGAGTTGATTAAGAAATAAATGCCAATGAAATGAAAATTAGAAGATAAGTATCTACGATTTTTTCACCTATGCGTTGTGCTCACTACTTTTATGCTCATGTATGCTTAACATTAGTAGTTACAAATAACTTCCAGCTTGAAATTCTGTAACTGTTTATCAACCTCTTTTTATATTTTTATGCCATTCACTCGCTTACTGTTTTATATGTTTCAATTCTGATTGGTCACTCACTTCATCTATTAGTGTGTTACAACTTTTCAGGATACTAATTTCAAAAGTAACTTGATTCTTAAACTATCTGCATTATCATAACTATATTTTTCTAATCGTCAGGTGTGTGCCAATAACATCATTATCACAGTTATTAACTACAACTTTTGTTAAACTATTATTGCTGATTCAGAAGTCATGATGATTAGTTTGGTTTTTTCTATGTGAACACAATTAAATTATACAACCTTGAGATTAAAACACAACAAAAATTATCATCTTGACATAAAAGTATTCTCCATCAAGTAAAGTTTTGTCCACTAGAGAGAAATTTCAGTACGATCTGTTTGTGGTAATCAAAATGTTTATCATTTTTCATGAAATGAATGCATTCATTCATTCAAAGCTTAGAAATCCTCAAATCTTATCTATGATATAGTTTATTTTTAAATGAAATGTAGCTTTAAATCTACTTCTGATGAGTCTTTCAAGAGATCACTCCTGTCTTCAAGACTAATGCTTACTTATATCCATTGATGACCAGTAGAAGAATCTAGAACTCACATTCCTCCTCGTTCGGTATCCATCAGCTAGATGCGCTTCCCGTTCAACATTTTCGCGGGGCGAAACAAGGGGGCATATTGCAGATTGCAATGAAAACATGGGGGAAAACGCGTGACTGTCCAACATTTCCCCAAGTTTTGCCCCAAGTTTGTAACCCCCATGTTCCGCATCTCGTTTCCCCGCAAAATGCCCCGTGTTCTCCACGTTTCACCCTTCGTTTCCCCGTAAAATGTCGACTGGGCTGGATCATATTGAGTGCTGGTGTTCCCGCTCAAACTAGAAGTCAACAACCACTGTTGAAAATTCCAGAGCTCTATTGTTAACTTATGGCTTTATCTTCACGTTTCTGTTGAAAAAAAGTAAAACTCATCTACAGCTTTCATTTTGTGTTTAAGCCTTCTTGTTGATAATAATATATCGCATTCATTAGTATCATAGATATTTTTCATCATGAAGGAAGTAGCAATGTCAGTCGATGTCTTATATATATATATATTTGAAAGGTAAGCTAAATTCAACTAATATGGAAATTATACAGCGTCTTACTCAAACTCATGAAATTTTTACTTCGGGTTGGCTCATCTGTTGACAGTAATTAGTACGTTGCTAATCCATTTGTGACTTCATTCTGCTGAAATTGATGTTTAAACAATTTCCTTTCTTTTTTTATTACGGAAATAGGTTGGTGCGATTTAGGGGATTGTTTTGATTCTAAGATTCATCAAACTGAAATTCAATCGCCATGTAGGAAGGATGTTTTCAGAAGAAACACAAATCACCAAAATATCATGAAAAAGTGCGCAACCAACTCAGAAGGTTAACCAAATACAGAATAATGCATTTTAGTTGGATAGACGTAATGGGAGGAAATCTCTGGATGTAAGTTTCGACCTTCCTGCCACTCTTCAGCAAGGCGTATCTGCAACGTTCATGGAACTGATGTTCCGTCTCAGATCCATCCAGTGCTGCGGCCAGAAACGTTACCACTGGGATATTCGGACTGCGACTGACCTTCTCTAAGAGTGGATGAGGTACAGAATGATCACTAGAATGCTGTTGGCACTCAGGACTGCACATTAGGAAGTTGGTTACCTTCCAGTGACCAACTAATCTACATAATAATGCTCTTACTAGGTATAATAGAACTTTCATTCACTCCAAGTCGGTCGTTCTGATAATATTTCAACCAATGAGATCACAGTTAATAGCTGAGCATCATATATGACAGGAATATAAAATGCATTACAAATTTTTGAGCTCAAAACTGCTTTCCGCCTTCAATATGGATGTACGAACATAGTCTAACAGTGCAGTACAATGATTTAGCACCAATTAGGTCAGATCATATACCCATTCAAAAAATCTTTCATTTAGAAAATATACAAGTAATTAAGAAAGAAAACTTGTAATCTACTGGGTAGTTCTTAGGAGCATGACAAGCAGTTCACAGGGAAGTCAGTAGATATGCTCAAATGAAACCTGTTAAGGGAGTCGATAAGAAAAATAATTTGTTACTGAAGAGGATAACAATCACATGATAAAACTGTCCTTCCAAATAGCTCTAGTTGCTCATCTACTAGTGAAATAATTCCGCGGTTGTACTCATCGTGGACTGACATCAGTTGTAGAACCATTGAATACCTGAGAACACCGGACAGTCATTTCATCTTAACATGGGACTCCTCAGTACTGCACACTCATGACCCAGCCAGGGGGCAAGTCTATGATCTTAAGGTTTCGTGGCCAGCAAGTTACTATTGAAACACTGGGCTGAGATCCAGTGGTCCACGTTTTGCTACCTTTATCGAGTTTTCAACACAAAGAAATCTTTATCCGATGCCATCACTGAGTATTTGTCCTCACGTCCTATCTGGTTTGCTTCACTTTTTGCTAATTTTTATCAGAACTACCGGTAATCTCATCTCAAAGCATGTCACTAATGGACACTGAACAGTAATTCACTTTGGAGGTTTGTTTATTTCACGTCATTTCCAGGTTTTCAATGATTCTGCAATTGATATCAGTCTCTGATGAGTACCACCGTGAAATCAATAAATCCTCAAAATCTCTCACTTTGAATGAGGAAATAGTTTTGGTAACCCTAGGTACATTCAGGATATCTACAATATGGATTATGGCGACCTATTGAAAATGTAATCGACTGCAGTTCCATGTGAAATCTTTCCAAGAGACCTTTCAGTTTAAAAGTTGGCACGTTAATTACTAAATTGTCTTATTCGGTAACCATGATAATTGTCATCTCATTCTGTTAGTTTTCAGTAAAGTAAACATTTCAGCGAATACAATGTACATACTTCAGACTGAAATTCATTACTGAGTTACCTATTTTGAAATAGCTTTTAACTCAAAGACTGAGTGATGAAGTATTATGGTTGCTAGAGCTTTCTTTGAAATTATTTCTATATCTTAACTTATATAACTCAGTTCCCTAAAAAGGTGTACTCTTGGTAGTCGATTAGAAAACAAAAAGACCTAGTCGAATGTGAGGATAGGATGGTACTGCATGAAAGTTGCACTACATCGCGAACTAATAGAAGTAGTAAAGCATGGTTCATTAGATTTCCACTCAGTGGTTAGATGGCTACGTGCTGGCTACGGAGCATGAATGTCTTGGGTTTGATTACTTGCTAGGTCACTGGTGTGCGCTCCTTAGGAGTCTCGTACCCAGACGAAATAGTTATCCAGTGTCCTCAGATTTCCTATCACTCTCAAACTGATGTCAGTCCGTGATGAATACCAACTGGAAAGACTTTTTTCTTTTGAGAAGGAAGATGAATAAGACTGGAGGTTATATTTGTATCGCAAAAGAACCTAAGCAACATTTGAGTCACCCCTCTTCATGATGTAAAATTTTTAGTCAAAATATGTATTGGGTTCCTAATGAAACTAAAGTTTAATTCCATCCCAGGAATAGAAGGATAGTACATGAAATCGATTTCTTCGAAAATAAAATTTAATCTAAAGAAAACATCCAGCTGAATAAGATAATGAATCAAAGAAATGAACTTACAGTCTAATCCATTTTCTGGTGGAGCAAGAAGACAACTGGGTATCCTATGAGCACATGCTGGACATTTACGATAATTGACTGATTGAACTTCACGAGGTGTCAACCACTCCCCAGCCAGAGTTAACTCGTTACACTTTGGACACTCCATAACACGCTTATAACATAAACCTAAATAAAAATGTTCAAAAACATTATGAAAAATATATGTGTCTCACGAAACGGACACGTTTTGACTTCAACTTGACTGTTGGTTAAATATACTTCAGTTATGAGCCTTTTATTCCTATTTCGTTAAAGATATAAAAAGAGTGTCATATTCGAAGAAATAGTGTTTTTGAGATAGTAGAGAAGATTTATAGCTGAAGATGAGAATGATAAACGTTTGGTGTTCTCCGGACTAAAAGGCTTTCTCGCTGGTTTTGTCATCAAGTTAGGTGATCTCATCAGGATTTAGTTTACATAGAATGATTGTCTCCCTAATACAATATTCTCCTGCATCACAACCAACTGAAATTATAGAGTACCTCTTTCAATGTGTTTTTCAATCTTTCCTTAACACAAATACCATAAGTATAAATAAGCTAAGCTCAAATTCGACTTATACTAACCTGTAGGTATGAGAAAAAGTCTGTAGATAAATTTGCTAGGCTATGCATTATTATTTCCTCCAGGCATTTTTCACATCCCAGAACCTCTAAATTCTATACTACTTATTATCTTTTACAAGTATTATCATTTGTAACATGAAAATCTTCCGAAATGATTATTCTTAAAGTTGACTTGCTATTTATATTTACCAGTTAACAAAAATTAAATACAAACGCTTTTAAGAATCAGAATGTACCATGTATGTATTCATCACTCAGAGTGTTGTTACTTCAGTAGCATGATTAGTTTATAAATGATTTACAAATCACGTGGTCCACGATGACACTTGTCAATCTCAGTAGTTTTTCAATACCTTAAATGTGGTGTCAGTAAGTTTTCTGTTGGAAACCACCTATGCAAGATCAAAATGGGTGATCTTAGCCCCATGACCTGAATTTGTCCGAATACACTGCTGATGACGTAGACCCCGGTGATCAGATCACTTTGATATGGTTAATAAAATCTACAGAATATCCTGAATGGTTTCTAGCTAATCAAATTGTACAGTTGTATATTTTGAACGTAATTCACTTGGCTTGTATATATTGCATAAAACGTCGTGGCTATTGAACTTGTTTGGTGTTAAATAAAATACTATTTCAGAGTATTTCATGACTTCAAAGGATTTCGCACTTAATCAAGTACGTCGCTACAAAATAAGGAGTAGGACACAGTCAGTGTATCATCCGTTTCTGATAACAGTCAACTGTTTCCCTGAATAATCAGACTTTACCTCACTCAAACGTAACCATTTAATTTTTGACCTTTGAAATAAAATTGAAACAGCTGTCCAGTGCTCCAAGGTGTTCAATGGTTTTCCAACAGATTTCAGTCCGTAATGAATACTAACTTGAGAATGATAAGACAGATACACACAAAACTCCAAACAGAATTACTGTCCACTGCTCACTAGTAACTTGGTTTAAGATGAAATTCCCGAAGCTCGAATAAGAGGTCGTGACCGGTGGGGTAATCCAGGATACTGAACTGAGGTTACGCTACATCGTGAACTGGCAGAAGTAGGAAAACTGAATTATTATATTCCAACCCTTTGTCTCAATAGCAACGCGCTGGCTGAGAAAAATGAAGTTTTGGGATTAGGTCTTTGGTTGCGCCATCGGTGCGCACAGCTGAGGAATCTAATACTAAGATGAAACAGCTGTCCAGTGCTCCTCCGTTTTCAATAGTTCTCTAACTGCTGTAACTTCATGATAAATACTAACTTGAGACCAATAAACTAGATCCCAAAAAACCTCCAAATTGAAAATTCAATCTGTTGTTTTATTGAGTAGTCTATAGCTAGCAAAGAATATTTGCTTGTCTAAATGACTTGATTATGTTTCTGGTAGAGTTAGTCAATTTTTCATTATTTCAAGTGTATCTACGTAAATTTATAGTTAAGTTTTAATACATAAAATGCTCACCTTTATAGGCTAATAAAATTCCATCGAATTCCTTTAATAAAGGTAGCATAAGATCCCAAAGATTAGCCTCTGAAATAGGCCACTTATGCCATTTACACTTCTCTCTTCTTTTTGAACGCTTTGTATTGTTATTATCTGTTGGCAATATCAAATCAGGAATGGTTATTGGTTCATTAACAGATTTTGTTCCTTTGTCTATTTTCTCTGTGCTTGCCACGACATCGTTTGATTGACTCTTGATGTCAACTAGATCTTTGTCTACATTTTTCAGGGGAAGTGCACGGAACTCAAATTTGATCAGATAGTCTTCACCAGGGATTTTCACCAACAGAAATCTTAACATAACTCGATTTGAACTACTGAACATTTGTACTCCAGTTTTCCAATGGGCTGTATATCGAAACTTGAAATATAACCAGCGAATACGTTTTACTAAGATAGAATAAACCACTTTTAGTATCTACTAGGGTTAAACAACTAGTTTATTGTGTAACGTATATTTATCATTATGTAATTCAAAATAAATGCTAAAGAAGACGCGTTTAAATAATATGACTGACCTGCTGCATTTATTAGAAAATAGATAATGTTATTTTGTAGGGTGAGGGGTGTAAAGCGTGCTACACCTTCTTCAGGATAGTATCAAACTACAAACTAATCCCTTACGTTATTGTATAACCACTTACTTTACTAAAAGTTCCCATACAAACATTTAAGGAAGTATGTGTATAATACTGTAAGTCATAGAAAAGCTGAAACTTAGCTACAAATACTGTTTACCAGCGTTTGCATCATCTCAACTTCACACACATCACTTCCTACTGCCTATATGTAGTCTCAATCAATTAATGTAATAGTCTTTCGTGTAGTTATAGAAAAAATTTTCCTGTTAGTGATGTTAAAACAATAATTTAGATTGGGTACTTACTGGAACTACGAAACAAATTCATTAGATTTCAGTCAAGTATTTTCAGAGTATGAAGTTGAATGCATTGAAACATTGAACTTAACCAAACGGTGAATTTCTGTTCTTCTTTCAAGAAAAAAAAGGGGACACAGTAACAAGCTTTCAACTGTAGATAGTCAAGACTTGTATATACTACTTTGCCAATTTTATGTCAAGTTGTTCACTATATCTTAAACATGATCCAACATGGTTAAACTATTAGACATGATAGGTTTAACTTTTTTCCGCTGAAAAGCCCTATTCAAGGGATGTACGACTTGAAAACTTGAAGATCTCATCTCCATCATTCTGATGATACTCAGTATTTCAGTAAAACTGTAATAATAGAGAGCAATAATCAAACAACGCTTTTGCTGAACGTCTTTGAGTTGTCATCCTAGGAATTTGTTTATAGTTATCTGACTACTCACGAGTAGTTATAAATTAACATCAAAGCTAAGGACCGAAGTATGTGGATTTTATTCAAATCACTGTCTAAACCGAATTTACCAGCAGCCAATAAAGTAACTTGAAATGGTGACTAGTTGGTATTTTCCGAGACTGTCTGTTTCAAAGGACTGGATGTCCATCAGTGGCTTATTCCAGTCCCGTAGATCATTCAGCTCTGAGGCTTCACTGCTGCTATTTTTAGCTTAACGAAGAGATATTCACAAGAAATAAAATACTTCTGCATATTTGTATCCTATCATTTCTGTCAGAACAACTAGAATTCAACTTTGAGAAGAGAACATAAAGTTATAGAAAGTGTGTCAAATATATAAACAGCTGTCTTTCACTATTAAAATGCTAATTGGTTGGAAGAGATCGCAGAATACCCTGCTTGACCTGACCTAGGTTTAATGTTCGATGTCACTCGTCAGGAAGGGGTGCCTGAAACCTTGCAAGAACTGACATCCCCTCTGAGGTTCGTACGCACGTCATCCAGTGTTACAGCCAGTGACGTTACTACTGAGCGACTCGGGCTGCAGCTGACCTCCTGTAGGACTGCATTACATGCATTGATTGAATATTTAGGAGCAACGAATCTCACATTAATTAGTCCTGAGCGCTGGTGAAAGTTCACAAACCAGTTTGTAACATGGCCACCAAACTAGGCTTAAACAAAATTACGAATTTCATGTAGTGGTACTATTTAGTGGGCAAGAAATCATACATACGACTGAACAGTGTTTCATTAAGCCAGTATAGTAAGGTTATTTATGTTAACCTAACGACTAATTTTTGCTAGGATACCTTTACTTGATGAAGTTTTTTACACAGACCGTGCTTTCGATGATGAAGTCTAATGTTTTGTAAATCTCAAGGTTATTGCTGTCGGTAAACAACTAGTGAAAACTTATCAAGGTTAGTCATTGGTTTGTATAGTTTTAATGTAATGCAGGATGGTCTTAGTATGTTTCAGCTTTGTTGATATTAACTACAGCAATTTGTATTAAACTGACTTCCCAATACAACCACTATGCCGAACACTAACCTGTAGTACTGACGTTCGAACAAAACTTTAGTTGCATCTATTCATGTTCTAGTATGCATCGGCCACTTAGCAGCTAGTACTTGAAGGACAATGTAATTATTAAGGAAAATGGTAGTTAATTTACAAGTTACAAATCTCTTTTACGTGAGAAATAAAGATACGCAGACTTTCGATGGGTTTATAACTTCTGAAACCATGCCATTTTCAGCATTATCATTCATTCATGTGACACCATAACTAATCCCTAATATAAGAGTAAAACTTAGGCACTGTGGTCGATTATAATTCCATATTAGTTTGTTTATTAGAAATATCACACAGTGAAACAGTAGCATTCACTGGATAACGTTTCGGACACAATTTATTGTCCATATTGATATCAGGTAACTCCACAACTTCGAGACAGACTATGTATATATATATATATATATATATATATATATATATATATATATATATATATATATACTGTCTCCATCTTATTCCCTTTGATATTGCATCAATGTTAATCTAGTTATTGACAGGATGGCTGATAGCCAGAAAATGCCGAATTCCATAATGTAAACAGTAAGGGTGATACATAGCTGACACAACAGTACTGTTATTCTCTGAATTATATTTAGTAATTTTCTTGACGAAAGTCGATGGGCATTTTTCTAAAAAGTGGTGTCAGTTTAGTGAAATCTCACCAAGATAAATTATTCCTTTTAAACTGAAGAAATTAAAATTAGGAAGCTGCTGGATACATGAACAAGCAACTACTTACCTTAAACACTTCTGGCCAGTTCAAACGTACTGTAGCTTTATCAAATAATTCTTGTGGTAGACCACAGGAAAAACGATATACAAATATAACTGGCCTTGGTCCAGTTTTACCAGCTGTTTCCCAAATGTTAATGCTCATTTCATCCATTGGACTACAAGAAGACGCAGGAATTAAACAAGGAAAACATAAAGCTGGCAGTCGTTCTGAACAAATTAACGACTGCAGTTGATCATTTGTCGGGGACTGACGAGGATCTAATCCAATACTTTCATCTGAATCTGACTGGTTTTCTGAAGACTGTGATGGCTGGTCAGAGTAAGATATAATACCGCAAGCTACGGCTATTTCTCTAGGAGACGGAAACTGGAAAAATATTGGAAAAAATTAATTATAAAAGGCTTTAAAATTCACTTGCAATGACGCGAAATTTTGTTTAAACGCAGTATTTTCCAGTTTCGTGTTAACAGTCAATTTGAATGATTTTCTTTGAACCGTTTGAACAATTTAGATAGCAACCTTTGTGAATAAGAAAGTAGTTCTGCTTACGTTGGACTTAACTTCATGGTTAGCATTGGGATCCAGGGTGCATATTTCCTCTTAATTGGGACTCGTCAGATACCTGTACCCAAGTGAGAGATAATTTCCTCGCTGAGACTCGAACCCAGTACTCATTGCTCTAAACGCCAGACTTTATACACACGGTCGCTGAGGCGCGATGGCCGCATGTTGCGCAACTGATATCAAATGTTGTTTATTGATACTTGTAATTCCCCACTTCAGAGCACATCTATCGATAGGAGTCAGGTAGTTCGATTTAGTATAGTAACGGAAAAATACAAGTGTCTACAAACAATAATTTAGCTTATTTAGGTTTATGCTAAAACTACAAACCTTTATCAACCTCATTCAACAGCTGTATAAAGACGTCACATGCCAAGTGATTCACAATGGAAAACACAGTGATGACGTTGAAGTGAAGACAGGAGTAAGACAAGGTTGCCACCCACTATCACCGATCATCTTCCTGATTGTGGTCGACTGGACTGGACTAAATCATGCAACAAACCGTGAGGAGCAAGAAGATGGCCATACGCTGGCTGCACAAATGAAAAGACTATAGAAGAAAATTTGGATTTCGCCAACCATGATGATTTATGTCTAATGTCTTGTTGCACTAACTCGAAGATCTACTGGCAAAATCCGACAAGTTGACAGAAGAGACAGGGCAGCCAAGGAAGATGGAACTTACTTCAGGTGAACCTAGAGAAGATAGAGGTGGTGAAGATACACAAACGACAACAACACCAACTACAAGCACCATTCACCACCAACAATCGGAGAAATCTAAACGAAGTAGCCTCTTTCACCCACCCACTTAGGCAGCATCGTTTCAACTACAGGTGACGGCACAGGCACCGATGAGGATGTGGAAGCCAGCCAGGATCGGGAAGACATCAGAGTAGGCCTTCCTACATTAGTCTGAAATAATCAGTGTGGATATCTACTGGAGTGGAGTGGAGTGGAGTGGACTGGACTGGACTGGACTGGACTGCACTCAGTATGAAGCGTGAACAACATCCTGATTTTCAACACTATTGTCAGTCAAGTTAGTGCTTCTATGTGATGACTGGGAGACTTGTTGCAATACGAAGAGCATTTCCAACAAACTGCAGACCCGCATCAACAACTGCCACCTACGCTCACTCGATACTGAAGATGGGGATTAGATGTCCAGAATAATCGGAATAAGCAACGAGAAACTCTGGCTGGTTGGCAACGAACCAACGAAGCAAGAACCCCTTCGCCCAATAAATATGCCGCGGGAAGTGGAGATAGATTGGATTGGATTGGACATACATTGAGAAGACGGTTTTGGGATATCACGCGCCAGGCCAGGTGAGGCCAGGTGAAGCTCTCTAGTGGAACCGAAATGGGAAACGACGAGTTGGGCGTCCGAGGGCGACATGAAAGCCTATGGACAGTCATGGAGCCAGGTTGAGCAGACTGCAGAGAAGACAGTAAAATGGCGATGTGCTACTTAAGCCCTATGTTCCACCGGGAGCCCTAAAGAAAAATTATAAAGTAATAATAATAAAGGTTTTTACTAAAATGGTCTTTATGCAAGCCTTCGAAGAAGCCTGACAATACTTTTTCTCCATAACTGAAATCATGAAACTGACTATAATAAATCAATTCATGTTAAACTGATTAAACCTTTTATCTCTTCATTCCAGAAGGTGACAAAGATGAAGATTAAAGTAACATATGAACTACATATTCGTGACTTTGAAGGTCTTGGGTACTAATCTAGGGCATGGTGCTGGATCTTAAGTTATAACTCGTCAAAATTCTCTCACTAATGGTTCTTAATAAGCTTCAAACTACTTTCTATCACCCACTTATGCGTAAAAGACATTTTTCCTTTATGTTCTCGAGAGAACAACAAAATGAGAATTTTTAGAATTCATTCGATCCTCAATACTGCAGTTAGTTTTTCGTCGCTAAATTTATCTTCATGATCATCGTTCAGTTTGAAGATGATAACAGAACCTTAAGTGAAGCAAATTCAATTGGGAATTTTAGGCTTATGAATAATTGTCACGGTCACATCACTGACATTTTTGATAGGTATAAAATCAGAGTTTAGCTGATCAGAGCAACCTCTTTCATAATGAACGTCTAGGTGTTTACAACACAACACAAACCAAGATCAATCTTCAGTTTATTTAGTAGTTACGAATCTGAAAGTGTTTTGCAAATATTTGTCAGCCATCAGATACCTTTCAGTTATTCACTAGAGGCTTTTAAATTCATATGACTCAGTTATTCTTCTATGAATCCCCAGAATAAATTGAATTTAGGCCCTGTGATGTAGTATAATCTCAGTTTATTCCATATAGCACGCTCAAACGGTATTCTTTCCATACTAGATGAGGAGACTTTGTCGAGACAATCACACAGCTTTCAATATCTCATTTTAATAGCCTTATCCTCCTTCACTTCTTGTTCTGAACTGTAATAGACATTTCTATAAATCCTGAATGGGTGTTACATCACTTCTACTACATATGATGTCGCTCCCATCTAACTATATCGCTTGTTAAAAAGTAATGCTTAGTCCCTTCTTGTCAAAACATTCTCCTTTACTTATCGCAATCGGAAACCATGATATATTTCGCCAGCTATTCTTAAATACCTTTATACCTCAACGCAATTATTCCCACTCAGTGCATGGTTTCATGCCAGTTGATATTTTTTAAGTTAGTTTCATACTACTTGTTATTAGCAAGTAGCATCGTTATTTAGCTAGCATTTTATTTCACACTACGTTTCGTCGCCCATTAATTTACTATAACAATTCTGCTTTACATTTTTATAGTTCAGTATTCGGTTTTCGTCCCGATCTCCGACTGTAATGCAGCCTATATTATTTAATGTTCCTCTTGTACATATTAACTTCTAAGTTGTTGTCTGTTACACACCTTTCTGCATTACTGTGGAAAAGGGTGCATCTTTCAAAACCAACAGTGGTAAAGTGTATGACAGCGGTGCACCCCTGATTTTGTTTCTTGCCTCACTTCTTGAACAATACCTTCCACGGTTACTAAACACCTAGATATCTTGTATGTTGGTTTACAGCTTTGATAATTACGATTGGCACCACATTCCAAGCAAATCTTAGGTTTTAATTTGTCAGTCAAGTGACGGCGTTAGATTTCCTGAAGCTTGAAATAAGTGTTTGTCGTGATAAATTTTACACCTATCATAATCCTGGTTTTATGTATAGTATATCTGTCCAGTAAATGTACTGTTAGAGATTCATTAGTATGAAATCTCGTCAAAGGCTGATCTCTCTACACGTATTTTAAACGGCTACTTAACCAATAGGCAATCTTCATTCATTTTTTCCAAAAAATTCATCTTTATTCGAACTGAGACAAGAATACTTATGCACACAGGCAACAGAGTCAAGACGATAGATTTGCAAGTCTTATGTGCAAAACAGCTTTCCATAAAATGCGTTGAATGAAGTTAGTTTAAAACTTAGTTAGTAGTGGAATCTCTTAGTTCAGTCATCCGATGAATAGGTTTTTTAGCTTTTATCGAAAAGCAGTACTTTGAATTACTTTCACCGATAGACACTTCGTAGAAGGATTCCGTAACTGAATTTTACCTCAGTTAAGCACCTATTCGCATGATCTTATTTCAAACAGTGGGGTATACTTAGAAGAGTTTAAGTGCGACACACTTCTTAGCCATTTCACTCAGTCATATTTATCGGATTAACTGAACGACTAAATTTTCTTACCAGAAATACTTAGTCACGTGGTGTATATGTAGGAAAACCCACAAGTTACTTGAGGGAGCTCATTCTTAGGTGCACACTAAATGTTATGCTCATTTTCAGCATTGAGATCTATTGACAGAGAGATCGTATCAAAATGGGATCCTCATTAGGTCCACTGTTAACTGATTTCTCCCTAAGAAGTCTAGAAAATAACAATCTTGCCCAAACTATTCAGAAGCTAGACTTCTACAAGACATATATGGACGACAAGCTTATCATTTATGATCACAGATACAATTCCAAAAGTGTATTGAAGACATAATGTTTGTCATTCATTCGCAAAAGAAAGGGAATTTAAAATCCCATTTCATGATGTGGGATTCATGGGCTCAATTCCTGAAGGGGTCATAGGTAAGCTCTGTAGAAGTCTCATACTTAGATGAAACAGCTATCTAGTGCTTCCACTTCTTCAATGGCTCTTCAAATGATATCAGTTTATGATGAATACCAACTTGAAACCAATTTAGTTCTCACAAACCTTCGTAATTAAATTTGCTAATGTCTACCTCAACTTATGTATAGTAAAGATTGTACAAACTTTTGACAATGAAATCTTGCCAAAGAAGAATTTTTTTCGTTGAAATGTTTGTTTCATACGTGGAGTTTTTTATGTTTTCCACTGCAAATAACCGTATCTCATGTTTGTAAACTACAGTACAGTGTAAATGCTCTCTGTTAAGTTGGATATCTCCTCGGTGTCCTTTCATGGTAATAATGGCTAAATGAATTTATCTATCCAAGTAAAGATATTATGAGTGATAAGGTTATTGAAACGAATGCAACTTCGTACTTAAACATAATGGTCATTACAATCAGCCTGTTAATTAAATTACTGTATACTGCTCATTTTGCATAACTTTTGCCTGATATCTTTTGATAACATTAGAATAACTTATCAATGCTGTTTTCACACTGTTGATAGGTTTTATTTCCCGCTACTTTGAAGGTTGAACTCTCATTGGTTGTTAGGTCTTTTAACCTACATGTGGATCTAGTGTTGTCAAGGTCATCTAGA